ACACACACACACAGTGCACATACAGTACACACACACAAGCTGGGGTAAGCGGATGGGAGGATGTGACCATTAAGTCAGTGACATTTTAAAGCAGTGAGAGAGATGCATGGCTCTTCCTGGACCTCTACAGACATGTTTTAAATGAGATGTTACAGATGAGCTACTCCATGCCTTGGTTGTAAACACCCTCACTTTGGTATTTACCCTACATGGGTAAACACAGAAAAGCAACATTTCATGCTAGCTCATGCTCTCATACACACACACGCACATAAATAAATACACAGAGCAGAGAACCAGCAGACACACATGATCACATTAATGAGAAATGGCTGCGGTTCGATTTGTCGCTTGATTGTTACATTAATCATTCAATTACACCAACATAAATTAAGTGACAAGTGAAGGCGTCAAAGCCAGATTTTGCTCAAATTGCTATTTGATCTTCAAAAACAAGTGGTCTGGTTTGCATTTTGATTGTAATTCTGTGTAGCTTGTCTAGACATACTGCAGATTGAAGTAAGCGCAGCCAAGCAGGATAAGCGTTTTCAGTGCATATACGGTGATTTGATCTTAGAAAAATCCATTCTTCAGAGTCAGAACACAAAACATCACGTTGAAGTAACGAGCAGAGTTGTAGTTTTGAATAGAGAAAACAAGAGAGCAGCAGGGAAAAGGAGGATGAGGAAGAGGCAGAAGAAAGTACTGACATTTTTATACCATTATGCAGCATAGCATTTCCATCTCTAAGATTTAGTGCAAATCAATAAAATAAAACATTTTTTGGGGGTATATTTATGATATTTCCAGGCAAACTGAAAGAATTGTTCTATAGAACAGTTCTTGCTTTTTTAAGAATCATATTTGTCTCAGAGGTTGCCCTCTATAATTAGACACTCGAATCTGAAAAGGAAAAACTCCCAAAGAATGGTTAATGGTAAATAAACTAAAGAAAAACCAACAGAGGAGTGATCCCTCTTCCAGGATGATAACAAAATTATAGATACAGTCTAAACATATAAAGAATATGGACCCACCCAGGAGGATGTCAATCAAACAAATAGTACCTGAGCCACACAACCTCCTCTCCATCACGGAAAAATGACAGACTGCACAAACAGACACGACTGCATGGCGAGAGAAAGAGGTCACCATGTTGCATTTGTACTGCTTCAGTATGTTAATCCTGAGGCTCCAGAGTCCTCAGGATAAAATAGTTTTGGCCTGTTATACGCTCTGCCCCTTGTGCATTCTGGAGCTTGAGGAGACCTTCTTAAAGACAGCGGTGGCACTTTTCAATTAAAAGTTTTGTCAAAACTCTTGTCAGGTTGTGCTCTTACAACATTAACGACTGGGTCTCAATTATAAACTTGCACCACCTGGCTTATGGGCGAAATGAGTCAGTGGCACCAGCTGTGTGTGTGTGTGTGTGTGTATGTGTGTGTGTGTCTATTTGGTGCAATTTTGTGGCTCATAGGTTACTCAGAGTGCTTCAAGTGTGTGCTAAATTGAGGGCCTCCCCAGCATGTTTACAGGTGGTCAGTGTTTTCCCCCTGTGACACCAAGGTTAGGATCATACCATCCTAGACCCAGAAAGAAACTCTGCTGCTCTCTAATTTTGCAGAAATTCCACAGGTGAGAGACCTATTTGTGGGCAACAGAAGAGGAAATTGTGTATTGTGTGTATGTTTGTGTGTAGATGCGAGCTTGTGACAGTGTATGGCCTTTTGATGAATCTGTCTGTATATATTGAAGCCCTCTGACCCTGTGTGGCCTGTTCTAGATCATTGCAGTTGTAAAGATGCCTCACCGCACAGCCCTCAGAGACAGCCAGGCTCTGTATTTTTCCTATCATGACATTTACTGTCTGGATCCATCCTGTATCCATGATTATTTCTACTTTGCACTCAGCCTGAGGTTATCTGTATTTATGTTGTTTGATGTTTTTTTTTTTCTCTTTTAAGAAACCTATAATTGTTTTTTGTAAGCATATTTTCTCAGGCTTGGATACTTCAGTTTGCTATCATTCGGAAGCCAGATGTGTGTATGTGTGAGTAAATATCTTTTGCAATGATAGATTTATAGATAAGCCAACCCACCCAAATTTATTGAAGCCAGAAGATGAGAGTGCTGGCGCTTGTAAATTTCCACACAACACTGAAAGAGTGCAGAGAGATCAAACCGGAATTCTCAGTATATATGTGCTGAATTCAAACAAACTTTTATGCATAATAACTGAAGCACTATTTATGCATCAACACAGATGCATTAAGATTTTAGTATGTTTTTAGAAGTGTATGTACATTCTTCAAAATCAGGTGGTCTGTAATTATACTCGTACTTTGTGTAAATATCAAAAAGTTAACCTTTTCCCGTCTCTGCTCTCTTCTGTTTTGCAACCAGGTTCCATCGTGGGGACTACCACATTGACGTGTGCATAAACGACTACCTGGATGTCTATTGCCCTCACTACGAAGACACGGTGCTCGAGGAGCGGACGGAGCGCTATGTCCTCTATATGGTTAACTACGATGGCTACAGCACGTGCGACCACACCGCCAAGGGCTTCAAACGCTGGGAGTGCAACAGGCCGCACTCCCCGAACGGACCACTCAAGTTTTCAGAGAAGTTTCAGCTCTTCACTCCCTTCTCCTTGGGCTTCGAGTTCAGACCGGGCAGAGAATACTACTACATCTGTGAGTTTTTACAGTTCTGCACACAGCATACATACAGGTGGATGAAAAATGTAAAGTAAAAAAACAGCATGAAGTGTTTTAGTAAGGTGTTAGGTAACCAGGAGCAGACAGAACAGTTTCTCTACTGCAGGGATGGAGCACCAAAATTGAACAGAATATGACTCACTCACATCAGTATTTATAAAATTTTTTCATAATAGGATAGAGGTTACACACAGAATAGCGCTGTATTGATTTGCAGTGACCCTTCCCTTTAAGGAGACAAGTGGACCCTTGTCATATTTCTCCTCTCGTTTATTTTGGCTTTTTCTTTAACTGATCACCCGGTTGTAGATATAACAGTAGTAACGTATAACGAAGTCTGCAGTGATAGCAATGAGACAATTGCAGCTAATTATTAATATAATTAATTCATATGAATATTATTTTCATATCAATATAGTAATATATAATAAGTAATATTATGTTGTGTGATATCCTTTCAAAGCTGCACAAAATCCCACATGCATTCACAGAAAAATGCCAAACAACCTAACCTGAAATGAATTACAGACCTAGACAGCCCTTTCCCTGACCTAATGTTTTTCTTTTAATACAGCAGAGCAAGACACACACACACACACACACACCTATACACACACACACACACACAATCCCTCACCCATGTTTTCATAACTTCAGCACAGAGCTTTAAGAGTGGCATTACAGTGATCCGAGCAGACACTTTCATGCTCTGCTTTCAGCCAAGCTTTTCACACTGCTCTCATCACTCGTGGAAAACTCTTCCCTAAAATGGCAATGGAATTCAAGGGGGAGTTAAATTGAGACAGTTTGAAAGTTATAGCTCACAACCCCTGCTGCACAACACTGTATCCTTCAAAAAGGAGTGCCCTCCTCTCTGCATTATGTTATGCTCCCATTCAGCTCGCGTTAGTTGTTAAGTTGTCTGCGTCTTGGCATAGGAACTGAGTTCATCTGAAGTTGAAGCCCCTGGGAAATTAGGTTTTATCAAAGCAAGGTGATATAGTGGAATTGAGTTGCGTTTGTCCTCCCACTACAAACTATTCCGTGCAGGGGAGACGGAGGAGTCACTGACAGTAGGCACAGTCACCGCCGCTCGCCCCAAACACATTTGTCACAGGGATACGCTGATATTACAAGGAAGCACAGTTATGTTCTCAAATGGGTGGCATTAGGGCAATATCATGCAGTGTAATGCATTATTGCTTCAGCTGTTGAAGGAAAAGTTGAAAGATTTTTGCACTTTGTGGGCTAATAAACCTGTATAAATTCCTTCTCAGCGAGGGGGTGTCCGTTTTGACAGTTAACACTCTCCCGCTAAACGCTGCTGGTAATACTATACTTGTATCTGTTTATCTGTACAATTTGGCCTGTGGTGTTAATGTAGCTCTAGGTGGCTGTCAAACCCGTGCGTCTTTGTGTTTTTCTCGTTCTCTCAGAGACGGCGTTTAAGAGTCTACAGCGTAGCTGAGGCGAGCTCTACACACTGAGATCTGTTTTGCAAATTGGCACCTTTGTCAGGTTAACAGCATTATAAATGCTGTTAACCTGACAGCCAGCCAAGACTTCTGTCCGTTATTCATTTCACGTGTTTTGCACTTCCTCTCCCTGCTCTGTAACACATTAGAGTTAGAGACTGGATTTTTTTTAAAAAGGGGAAAAAAAGCGCCTTCCTAATGTTTGCCGTTGTTTCCGTGGTGAATAGGTGTTTTCTCTCAAGCTTGTCCACAAAACAAATCCTTTCCAGAGGGCTTTCAACAACCAGGTGTTTGCCCATTTGTCTGGTAAAAAGTAACCAGATTTTCCTTTGCTTTTATAGCCAATTTGCATTGACAGTCATACTAAATGAGACGAGGGAAAAATGGAACTCTCCAAAGTTGGGAGCGTAGATGGGGGTTAGCGAAGGGTTATACAATTCATCTACTCCCTCAATTCTCCATTTCTAACTTTTTTTTTTCCATTTCTGTTGAGAGATGCTTGTCCTAAGGGCTGGATTAAATTACACTGCGACCGACAGGGCTTCCATGGAACACATCCATTCTGCTGTAGCACGCCATATTGGTTTAGTTGCCCGCGGCTTCATTGGCTATTGAATGATTCTAGTGTATAGCCTCTCTGGCTACTGTGGCGGATATTAAAGTCATCTACCATGAAGTCGTCTGACATGTGATTTCCCACTGCCATTGTGTCCGGCCTGAATGTCCATAAGTAGCAGGGTAGATGGTTGCTGATGGATTGGACAGAATTCATCCAGTGGACAGAATGTAGGGCTAGATGAGGAAGATTGAGAGAGGTGGAGAGGCAGTTACAGTACTACACCTGCCAATTCATCTGCAACATCTGTTTCAATCGCTACCATCATCATCATCATCACCACCACCATGAGGGAGTCTTCCTCACCCGCTAGCAGCAGAAACATACAAGACCTTTCAGGTTGCATTGGATTACATCATTTTTATTCTCCTTTAATCTTGAGAATTTAGTGATAAATACAACTTTCTAATAGAGGAATACATAAACAGACTGCAAAATTAAATCACAACAGGGAATTTTTCTAAAGAGTATAACCTAATAAATGTAATTTAATTACTTTTTGTTATAAATATTCAGGATTTAAGACAGAAAAAAAAACATTGGCTCACACTTGATTATATCTAATCCTTTATCTCTAATCTTTTTAAAAGAGCAAAACTAAATGCCACAGTACACCAGGAGCAGGTCGGTTTGGCACCAATTGCAACAACATATTGCAATTTGAGTTTTATTTCCCTTGTGTCTGCATGGTTACATGCACACATCATTTGGTTAACAACACCAATAGGTCCAACTGTTGGTCAAGTTTTGCCCGTAGTCTGTTGTCTCACAATAACCCATTCAAATATTTATTTATATTGCGAAAATGTTTAAAAAGTTTAATTTATCGGGTTATTCAGTGTCAACAAAACATTTTGTAACATTGAGTACATAATCCAATAGAAATATAGCAAAATGGCTATCCTACTTGAGTTTTTCCACTACCTGTTGGTCTGTCAGCTATGTGGCACAGCCTCCAATGAGAACAAGCTAAAATACATAAAAACTAAAAAAAACTGCTCTTGAGCTAGATGATGAATCTTTTAGAATTATTAGGATAAATGTGCCTGTCATTGTTTTCAGATGAGTTGAGTAATAGTCAGATAACATCCAGTGTGGAGACACATATTCTCTTAGTGTTACAGATACTGGGTAACCACAGTCAGGGTCTACAATATACAGCCAGAGCCAAGATAGAGAACAGTGTCTGTGTCCAGGAACAATATGACTGACAGGATTGCATGCATGTTATTTCTGTAGAAAAGATGGTATTTACCTTAGGTGCAGCCTTTTTCTCTTGGTCTGCCATACTGGACTCAAATTCTTCCTGCTGGAGCATTTTCAATGGTATAGCGCCTGCAGTATGTCAGTGTCTGATAACACTATACTTGCTTAATGAAGTGAAGGCATTGCTTAGCTCTTTTTAACGATAATCATAATGTTATGTGCCCAGGTTGATTTCTGAGATGTGGATGCCTATTGAGCTATGAAAAAAGATATTTGACTCGGACTGTTATTATGATAACAGTTTGCCAGCTACCTTGTGATGCTATCCAGTCTCATTATTGTTGCCAATAAGAATAAAGACTGTTGTCAAATAAGAAGATATCAGTGTGTACTGCTGTGCATCTGTGAGTAAACATTGATTAAACTCTTAGCTCTTGGTTCAGGCTGTATATTTAAGGGACAATATTTAGTGTTTGTTGTTCCAACATTTTGAGGTTTATTTTTGACTCTGAAAGTTGGCTTTGTTCTGCATGTAGCCCTGCCACTACATGGATACACCACATGATTGTGAACATGGCTGTAAGTAAAACAGGAGAGTCAGCATAATGTTCATGATGTCTTCCACCTGAAATCATCATCACATGACCTAAGACTTGAACTTGTGAGGTGAGGCTTATAGAAATGAAGATATCACTTTTGAATTAATAGAAATGAGACTTCTTTTAGTTTAAAACTATGCTCATAAAGTTCTATATGGCCTGCTCTGGTGAACAACCTGATTTCACCTCTAATGGGGATCATTAAATGTTCATCTTATCTCCTACTGTGCACAGAATAGTACCCAAGGCCAAATTTCTAAATAATGGATCTCAAATTTAAAGTTTAAATGTTTTATTAAGTTATTAATTTTTATCAACATGAGGTCTGTAATAATAATAAGTAAAATTTTAAAATTAATTTGTGTATCAGTGTAGAAATTACACCCCAAACAATGCCTACAAATAGCGTCCACACAGCAAAGACATTTCTACTGTATAAGATATGATGACATTTGGAGCTCAGCATAAACTCAGTGGTGAGACTTTGCCCTTGTAGCCCATTTGCTTACATTGTGTGAATGCGTAGTGTAGCGTAGCTAACAGAGAAAATCTTATGCATCATTACCCGCTGAGGCTGGCTATACTGCACACCTGCACTAAACAGAAATGTTAATGTGCCCTGAGGCAGAGGTCACTATCCAGGAGGCGGAGGTTAGCAATAGTTGACTGTGAATGGGCTCATGTACTTGAGACATAACAGTATATCATCCAGGAGAATTCATGAATGCATTATTACTTTGGTTTTATAGCACGGCTGCAGAAGTACACTGTCTTAATGAAGATAGAATATTTATTTATAATCAATATTTAACTGATTTTACTCGAGCATTCATAGAGTAACCAATGGTTAACTACATACAGAAGGGCAGAGACCTTATATATAAACATTTCTCATATACACAGTATCAGAATATTAATCATTTCCTCATCTCTAATAACTTTCTGTAGCCAAATGACCTGAGGGAATGTAGGATGAAAAATCTGCTCTTAGTGACGTGATTGATTAGCTTTCTTGTTTGTAGATGAAAATTAAGCTGTCAAATCATATTCCTGCCGAGAAAATGTCCGTTAATGGTGTTT